GGGGTTGGGGGGGGCTTCATGCCCTGGTTCCGAGACTGGGTTTCGTTCTGTACGTGAGCAGTGATGTGAGAGCCCCCGTGAGTTGCCTCCAGCCTCGGTGCCGAGTGACAAAGCCCGAGGGCGGGCCTGCCGCAGCCTCCTGTCAGGAGAAACCCGGGCCCGGAGAGGGGCTCCTGCCCCTCGGGGTGGGGGGTCGCTGCCGGGTGTGTGCCCGGGGGTCAGTGCACACACTGGTTCCAGACTGGATTTTTTTTTTTTTTTTTTTAACCCCAGAAGGAAGGGATGGAGTAATTCTGAAAGCACTTTGTTCAGAAGCAGTATTTGACATGCTTCAGAAATTACTGAGGTGTAATAAAACCTTTTGTTGAGATTTTCCCTTTTCACCCACTGCAATACCCATTGTGTAGCTAAGCCTAGTTATAGGCATTATTTTATCTAAATTCCATGTTCTACTAAAATATTTGAGAAAGCTTTTAGGCTACTGATGGTCTTAAGGATAATTAAGTTTCAAATAGAACATGGTTTCCTGCAGAAGAGTATTTTTATTAGAAGGACCCAAATTAGCACAGGCTGCTGTAGCAGGGAAATGATACAGCGGCTGGGTAAAGGAAAAAAAAATAAATAACAAAACCAAAACCACATGGGTGTGTACACCTCCCAGCCTCATCAAAATTGTCCCAGGAGCAAAACAAAAAGCTTTTAAGTTTGCTTCACTACATCCAGCAAAATATTAAAGACCAAAAAGGGTAGTGACAAAAGTTGTGGAAGATCTCAAGCTGTGTGCTGTCTCCACATCAAAGCGATTGATTTCATCTACTTTTCAAGTAGGTATAATTTCTCTAATAAACGAGTATGTGTGATGGGTAGAAGAGGGAGAAAGATGTGGACGGGTTTAGCTGCTCTACACAGAAGATTGTCCAAAGAGCGTGTCTCATTAAGCCTCCATACCCATGTCTCTACAAGGAAGTGTTGCATCTTGGAAAGGGATCTTCTTGCTATGTGGATGTGCTCTAAGTTTCCAGTCTTGACAGAAGTATATTTATGATCACAATAGTTTATTTATAGCCTCAAAGCTTGAGATTGATGGCATATATAAGAAATAGATGTCTTAATTCAGTAAATATAAATGAGCTTCATACATTCTGTAAACAAGTTTAATTCAAAATTTTTATAAAATACATCTTGTATTTACACACATACCTCATCTAAAAATATGAGTTTGTTGAATGCAAAGTTATTACAAACTATCAGAACCATTGGAGAGCTGTTTGTACATATTTCTTGCACAGCATATGCAAAAGGTGACCCTAGAGATACTAAGATTAAAAGGTGCAAATCTGCAATTGTGTACAAAATATGTACTATGTTAAGTGCATATCTACATTGCATATTACACATGTGCCAAGTCTGCAGAACTTGCGGAACAGTTAAAACTGCAACTATAAGTTTCACAGAGCATTAGTATAAAGGAAATGAAGATATTTGAAGATTAACCTGCATCCTTTGAATATTCATAGTCATTTCAGATGTACAGGATCCATTATGGACATCTAATGAGCAGCTATGCAAAGAGGAACTAAGTTTAAAGCTCTCTGACAGCTTAGTAACCTACATGTTTGTGGTGATGTTAACCATGTTCACAGGGCCTGGGTTGAGTCTTCTGATACTAGTTGGATATTCCTGTTGAAAAAGAAATAAGTCATGGAAAAGAGATCAGACCAGATTCCCAAGCTAACATGCTTTTTTTTATACACTGTAATTTACTTTTTTAAAAAAAATTATTTTGTATGAATGCTCTCAAAACACTTGCAGATAAGTACTAAACTGCTAGTGTAATTGGTTTAGTACGACTCTGCAGTAATTCCACCAGAACTTCTGCAGAAGTAAAAAATTAGGTGCAAAGTTACATGACAATTTATATCCAGCATCAATTTGAAGTAGTTCAGTTTAAAACCAACACAAGCATCAGCCAGAAAAGCAGACTGAATAAGCTCAAGGTTTGTGGTAGAGCTGGAATTTAAATATATATTTTGCATCAGTAATGAGTGGTAAAAATAAGTTACCAAAATGGCAAGTTACACAGTCCTAAAAAGCTAAAAAACTACAGTTCTGATAAGGAAACATATCCATCAGGGATCAAAGACAGCCCTTGCTATTACCTTGTCATGACTGATTTTTATTTCGTAGAATCACAGAATGGTTTGATTTGGAAGTGACCTTAAAGATCATCGAGTTCCAACCCCCCTGCCATGGGCAGGGACACCTCCC